TGAAGCAAGTCAATCAGGACTGCCAAGATGTGCTGGGGGTGGGAAGGAATACTGCATGGAGGCTTGCTTGAAGGGACCCCAGTAGGTGGAGGCAAAGGTTGGGCGCGGCAAAGCACAACCATGCGTATGCCCCCTTATGATAATATATATATATATATATATATATATATATATATATATATATATATATATATATATATATATATGTGTGGTTGGCCAAGGCCAGTGAAAGGGTATGCCATATACAGATTGTCCCCTACTTACGAACATTCTACTTATGAACATTTCATACATACAAACAAAATTTTTTAAGTACTGAAGTTCAAAAAATTGTTTGAAAGATGCTAGCAAACTTCAAATTTCCCGGGCATGAATATAGTTCAAGAGCCTGGTACTGTATAAGGTATGTCGTACTTATTGGGATTTATTTACAGGTATTCTTAATGTAAACAGAACTTTAAAACAGTGGGAAAAAAGGTAATGGAGATCCAATTTTCGACATACAAACAATTCAACTTACAAACAGCCTCTCGGTCCCCATTATGTTCTTAAGTTGGGGACTTACTGTACATATACATGGTATTGTCCAATTAAAGCATTTCATATCTCTTATACATGCAGATTTATTTGTTAGAAGGCAACTTTTAACTGCTGTGTAAAGTCCCAAGAGATCTTATTCATGTATGGTCAACAAAGAGCATTAATTAATTCAGTGATATGAGATATTATGAATTTGTATATATGTGCTTTTTTTGTTTTTGCAGAAGGAAGACAAAGAAGTGTTGTTACTTCCTTCGCGGGACTCAACTAGATTAACTGAATGGCAGCTTGATGGCTTAGCCCGTGCTCGTGTGTCTGCATATTTGTCCAACATCAAGATTACATTACAGGTAATTATTTCACCTATGGTATGATATTGATTGATAACAACGTGCTTGCGCTGTTTATTGATTTTATTTATTTATTTTGTTTACATATAGTTGGCTCCACAAGTGCTTAGTCACCAATAACTCATTTATTAGGAAGCACTTACTCTCCTATGGGGAGGAGGAGGAATATCAATGAAATTGTTATAAGTACCATAGAAATGATTATCGTAAAGATTTCTCTTGTCTGTAATGTGCATTCAAATTGCACAATGTGTTAAACATAGTTTTTGAAAGAACCACTCACACACACACACACACACACACACACACACACACACACACACACACACACACACACACACACACACACACACACACACACACACACATGCACGCACACACACACACATGCACGCACACACACACACACCCATGCACACACACACACCCATGCACATACACACACCCATGCACATACACACACACACACACACACACACACACACACACACACACACACACACACACACACACACACACACACACACACACACACACACACATGCACACGCATACGCACACACACGCCCATGCACACACACACACATGCACACATGCACACACACCCATGCACACACACACACACACACACACACACACACACACACACACACACACACACACACACACACACACACTCACTCACTCACTCACTCATCATTAATTTATTGGACCCATTTGCATCATGGCAGTGAAATCACCAAAAATCTGGGCATTAGGCTTACATGAGCAGCCGCTCTGCCAGGTGGCTGCTTGTAGGGCACATGTGAACATGTGTGCGTGGTGGCAGGAGTCTATGCCTCCTATTTGCATATTTGCCATTTGATTTGCTTTATTCAGATTTCCCCCCCTCCCCTCCTCACAGACTCCAATCATATCTCTAGGTAGTCAACAACTCCGTGCAAGAAAAATAAAACAAAACTATATAACATTATGTTATTTGTATGTATGTATGTATGTGTTTTTTTTTTTTTCTACATCCTGTGTCGCCACTCATGGCACCAGGAATATAATGCTGAGTATGGAGATGGCATCCTCCATGGAGCGAGCACTATTCCAGTCACTGCTCACAGACATTTCATTCCACACCCATACATTGATAGGAAAAAGGCAAAATTGCCAAATGAGTAAAACAAACCTCCCAATAGGTTTGACAAGTCTTTCTCATCACCCTGGCCTTCAGACGACAGCACATTCACATCACTCAGCCTACAGCCAGATTTTCCTGTGATGGCATGTTCATGTCAGATATCTTCATGACGTGATGGTCAAGTCACCCTGATCCAAGGAAGTAACACTGTTGGATATTTTCAAATGCGAAACACTTCATTCAGGAGTCCATTGGTGATCATCCATGAAAAAGGCAGAATTTTATCTCACACAAGGCACTAAGATATGTATGCATGTGGCATGGCTCAGCTAACATGATTGGATTAATTCTTAGCACACAAAACTTGGATCAGGGAATAGTTTAATAGAAACCTTTCTCATGAGGTTGAAAGTCATATCATCCGGCCATCTAAGCTGAAAAGCTGACTTCCAAGTTCTCGCAGATGACAGCAGTCCACTCAGTTGATGGTCTTGATGGGGTGCAATCATATTGGGCTGAGCTCTCTCAGCAGTGGTATTAGGTTAACCCACTGATATTTATCATGGACATGAGTGGTGTGATCCTGGTGAAGGATCTGTCTATTAGTGAGAAACGTTTTCCCTGGCGGAAGTTTGGGAGGTAATCCAGTTAAACTCTCAAAGAATGGTGATGACCCTGTAGCAAGTGGATTGCATACTGTCCTGGCTATCGTATAGCAGTCTGTTCCTCCAGGCAAGTTAAAAGGTGTAATCATCCCTCAAAGGAAGGAGAAAGGGAAACACTAGGACTACAGCAGGACTTTGGGGACCTGCTAGGAGAATATGTCTAGTTGGTACGTGCTTATAGTGAGAATATCAAACTCGCACAGAGCTTTGCATATATTGGTAATGCAGTCCATGACTCTCAGCTGTCAGATTAGTAAGTTCGTTAACAGATTTGCCTGGCAGTAGGTGCCTTGAACTCATTGGACATGTGATTATTTGGAGGTATCTGTACAGAGGGACAAAGTTACATGTCCTAAAACCCATTCTATATTTGCACAAGCAAAATTTTGACACTATCTTGTCTTGTTGGTTTGTTTTTTGCAACAGGGCCTTGCTTTAGATCATCATATCTAACCATTGCTTACACCATTAGACTAGCATAGGACTTGTTACTTGCATAGTCCAAATATGCCAATACTGGCAAACGAAAGAGAAGGAAGAGGCAGTAGGACAAGTAGGACAAGTAGGACAACCTAGAAAGCTGTATACTTGGGCATATTGATCAGATCTGTCATGATGAGTTAGAGATTGGTAGTAATAGTATTATAATTACATCTATGAATTAATATCATTTTTACCATGATGATAACAATAAAAATACATAAAGTGATTATGAATATGCAGGTATAATAACAATAATGAAAATAATGATATTGGTTATTGTGATCAGAATTAACCCATCACTGCTGGGTGAACAGAAATCCTTGAGCATGATAAACTTGTGATTTCTGGCAATGGCCAGACACTGGGTGCCGGAGTCAAGTCGGCATCAAGCCGAACTTCCCACTCCACGTGCGTACAGGTGTACCCTGCAGACCAAGCGGTTTGTTACAACACCGATACACGTGACCCATCCAGATCAGGTTAAAAAAGTAATGATGTTGATCATGATTATAATTGTAATAATGATCATGATTATAATAGTAATAATGATAATGATGATAATAGTAATAATGATAATGATGATAATAGTAATAATGATAATGATGATAATAGTAATGATGATTATAATATAAATTACGAGGATAATGATTACAATAATACTCATGTAACATAGAAATAGTAATGATAAGCTAATGATAATGATGATAGTTGATAGTCATCAACATTACACAATATATTTGATCATATGGGGGTTTGTGTTGAGAGTACTCATGTCTGTTTATAAAAATAGTCAACACAGACATATATTGTAATTATGATCATATTAATCCATTAGATTTTCCTTGCACAGACTTAATTGCATCTTTCTAGGTAGCCCATAACTTTTTTTCATAATTTTCTGTTTTCCATAATACAATCTGTAATACAACCTGTTACTACTTGATACCTTGTATCAGCTCAACCCATTCCAAAGCACCTATCTAGATGATTACCCATTCCCTCTCTCCATTCTCCACAGTCTTCTTCATTTTCAGCCTCCTCCTATATTACTACTATGAATTCTTATTGTCCACCTGCCCATAGTACTAGCTTACTCAGTACCATTTCCTCTTCCTTGTATCCTTCAACTACTTCCACCTTAGAAATCTCTCATTTGAGTACTCTTTTTATCCTAGCTAAGTGGGATCCATTTTATGTGATTTCCCCTACGCCCCTTACTCTGCCAGAACCCTCTTATTCCAAAAATGTTTCCAAAAACAAGTAGGCAAAGTTTCCTTTCTCAGCTGTTTTGATTGTTCAGCCTTTGACCCTTGAGTCCCAAGCAGGCAAACCTATTCCTGCCCAGCCTCACTCCTCTTTCAACCCTTTATGGATGAGTCACATGTACAAGAATCATAACATACCACTTTGTCTGCGGGGTATGGCAGTACGTGCAGCAACATGCCAGAGCACGTGTCTAAATGTTGCCAGAAATCACCAGAGTTTATGACGCTTAGAGGATTTCTGACACCCATAGGTGTCAGGTTAACCCCTTCACGACGGGTGACGCTGCTAGGCGTGAAAACAAACCGCCCAAAAAGTGGCATGCAGCTGTACGCCGCGGGGGCGAGCCAGTGATTCGGCCAGATGTACCGAACTCACGCTCTCAAAGTCGGCGCGCTGCCATGGTTCGCCAGAGCGTAGAGTTTTTTTTTGTTTTGTTTTCTTCACCCGTCACCATTGGGTTAATGCTTATACTGGAACTGTTTCCATCTTCCCAGCTGATTTCCTTGTCTATTATAAGGATTGGTCAAAATGTGAAAGCAACCTGCTTGCCTGCCTCATTTACTATAATGCAGCATCAATATAGTGTTACACTATTCCCCTAGAGTTGGCCAAAAGTTGTTCACCAACATTGCCAAATTGATCTTCTGTAGACATGGTATCTCCATGACAATTATATTGGCGGAGAGTCCTACCCTGTCTGACGATAGTGACCCCTTCCCCATTACTCACGTCATGTTACAATAATGTGTGCATTACCTTTTATGCTGTTCTTTATAAGGAACCCTCATGCTCACACACATCCCCTGTGGCATTGTCTGAGCGAGAATGGGGTGTGTAATACTATGATTGGCTATTGTTTTGTATAAAGGAAGAATTTTAGCACTTAAATCATCCACCTGCTATGCCTGGAATATGTCATGCGCCAAAACATGGTACTCTCTTGTTGCTGACATGAACCTGTAAGTAACCTTCACTCTTGTTTACGAGATATGTGTCCTTGTGTCAACTACTCTCATTGTCTTTTGGTACACTGCTGGCATGATTGTCATGAAGTGTGACACACAAAAGGGAAGTACTGATGCCATGGTGGTAATCTCAAATTTGGTGAAAATAAGATTGCAAAAATGAGTTTTTTCTTTTTTCTTCAATAAAACCACATTCATTGAAATGGACACAAATGTACATAATCAGACTGCTACAGATCTTGCATACCATGCATCTGTCAGTATGAAAAACATTAAAATCATATTATGCATACAAGTAACAAAAAAAAAAATCACATCACTTTGTTGGTTCAGCACGGCAAATACTACACACAGGCCACACTGGAAAATGTTCTGGAGGTGAGCCCCATCTATCACGCATACTACCCAGAGTGGAAACCAAGTGAGCTCTATATGCTCCTGGAGGCAATGGTTTATCTCAATGTAGATGGGTTGGAAAACTGCTATAAAAGCAATAAAAAAGCTATAAATGCAATAAAAGCAATCCAGGAAATAGGAACATAAACACAGCTGACAAAACAAGTATGCAATGGTTCTCTCTCCATGTGCACTGAGCACATGGCCCGTCTCAGTACCCATGCAAAGTTTCATCACGCTCTGGCAGCTGGTTTGCGTGTAAATCCCAATCTCTATAAACATGTGAAAGTTTGTAGACAGCTGTAGCCATATGTCTTATGAAGGATATTACTGTCTCATACTGTAGTATATTACTCCATTTTAGAACTGTTTAGGAGTTTGTGTTGGTGAGGGAACAAAAAAGAAGGGGTACATAAAGATTTTAATTTTTCTAAGAAAAAAACAAAAACGACAAATAAAAAAGCCCCACACCTGTGCCTTTCAGGCTTAGTATGCCTGTAGAAAAGTATGGTGTTGGGCAAACAAAAATACAGAACAAACATAAAAGCACCACATCTGTGACTTACAGGTATGTCTGTAAAAAAACATTGTTTTGGGGAAACAAAAAAACAGAACAAACAACAAAGTCCCACACCTGTGCCTCCAGGCATGGTATGCCTGGAAGCACGGCATTAGGCAGATCCTGGTCTCCTACCTGCACCAGTGGTTCCTTGAGCAGAGCACACATCACTGCCACTTCCAGAAAGGCGTGTCAACAGGCAAGTGTGCCTGCTGGGGATCCTCTTCAGTGTGTCCCCCCCCCCCCCCACGCTATCTAGCCGCGTCACCTACGCACAAGCGGCGTGCCCACAGCATGGCTTGGCTTGCTACCTAGACTCGTTCCCACTCGTCTCCCGCCTCCGATACTTAAGGCCGCGTTTTGACCGTTCAAAGTAGAGGAGAGTTTTCCCTGGTGTGCGGTCGAGGTCACGTCTGACCTGGGCTGGGTTGGGAGTGACCCCGGCGACCCTCCAGCCAGCCGCCCAATACCCAAGTGTCATCGTTGTGTTTATGGACCTGTGTGCTAGCTCTATCAATAAAAGAGTTTTTAGCCACTAAGCTTTTACTACTTCCCTATCACCAATGTTTAGAGGTTCCCTTCAATAACCCTTTACACACACACACACACAGGTGTGTGCACAGATTTCCACACAGCCACTAAAACACATGCCGACAAACACAAACATGATGGAAAACACATGCACGCACATAGTTGCACAAACATAATTACCCATATACACACGTATGTACATACAAAATAGTTAAAAAACAGGCATTCATACAGCTGTATAGCAATCATGAGCACAGCCGTCCCCAAAAGGATGGGCCAGAAATGGACCATGCCGTTATTCATACCTGTCAGTATGGACCTGCACCCGGTACGTGCATAGGTGTGACCAGTCATCATGGGGTTAAGATTCATTTTAGGAAAAAAATTGACATATGCTGTAATACACACTTATTCCTTTCCAGTCCCTGTGTGAATTGGTTGGTGAGATCAGCAACATGGTAATCAGTGATGAAGTTGGAGGATGGGTGTGGGGTGCAGTGGAGGAGTGGAGGGAATGTAGCAGTGCAGCAAGAGAAGGCAGGCTGCAAGAGGCAACTTTTTACTGTGGTCGATCCTTCACCCAGGCTGATGCTGCCTTCTTCCACCCATCATTGTTAGCACTTCTGTATTTTCCGGATAACCAAAAGTATGTGTTCTAAATCATTATTTTGCCCTCTTTAAACTTAGTGCATCTGAGCACATTCCTGAGTAAGGATGCTGATAGGCTGTACCATCCATTTTTCATTCTTCTTATCACTTGAACTTAGTGACAGATTTAGATTGGAGGAATGGGTTTTACCATTGGATTTTATGTAAAATATGAAATTATTTTCTTTTTAATTGATTGTAGTATATTTGAAATTTCTCCCAAAATCTTTAAATGCTTCATAAGTGATTTGTTGTTTCTCTCCAGGTATGCCATCTATGTTCCACTGTTTCTGCCAGTGAGCATCCCTGTCATCTTGTCCTTCAAAATGCTCCTTGGGCTGTACAAAGGGTCTGTAGCCTTGAAAGTAAAAGAAGAATAAAAGAGTTTTGTAATTCATTCAATATGCAACAAGAGAAATAATGTTTGTTTTTGGGTTCCAAGTTTACAAAAAATTACTGTTGCATAGATCACTTGCATTGACTTTGAGTTCAAAGCACTAATTTCACCAGTGCCATGTCTACTGCAATGCATATAACATCATAGAAAATATAATTGTTGGTACTCTTTGTTGAAAAAGTGAATATGAACAAATTAAGAGTTTTACTGTTCTAAGCAGGTATATTTCTGTTTAATGTGTTACTGATTCTTATTATGACTATTTTCTTATGCATATATGGACAGAAATAATTTTTCTTCAACTTTTTTATATCAGCATTGTAATTTCAAAATGTCACTGGCAATGCATCTGAACATATAGTGTGATATATGTCCCAGGGCATTCCAACTTATGGCTTGAGATATAGCACTTTCAGAGTTTCAGAGATTAGTTTTCCTAGGCCTTACTAGGTTTGAGATGTAGACAACAACTCAATAACATATTTAAAGATAGATTTAGATGAGGACAAATGAGTTCCCCACATCAAGTCATTGATTGCACATTTGAAAAAACTAGTTGAAAATTGTGAATTATGAGGCCTTGCTATCTGTTCTTTTTCTTCCCTGTAAGGCAGATAACAATAAAATGCAGAATGCATTCCTTTTGTATGGGAAAGAAGGAATGCCTCTCATGTCCTTGTATTAAAGTAATCAGTCTTTCGTATAATGTATGGGCCAAGTAGTCAGGTAATAACCATGTATAACCACTGCTTTCAATATTGCTCTTGGCAACATATTAGCTTGTAGGGTAATTGGATAGTAATGATGATGGTTTTGGAAGTGAAACAGATTGCAAGTCCATTATAGATAGGCAAACTTGTTGAGCAATACAGAAATGGTATTAATTGTGTTGCACCCATATTTTTAAAAAAATCTTTGGTAGTAGCAGATCAATGGATTTATCTATTTATTTTATTTTATTTCATTTATTTATTTTTTATTTATTTATTTATTTATTTATTTATTTATTTTGAGAATGAATGACATAACAAAAACATTTTGAGTATTTTATGAAACCATGAAAGAATAAAAAATGATATCAAGAGAAAAATACAGAATTCTACATTGATCACTGACTGTTGTACCAGGCCTTGCTTCTTGGGTTTCCATTAACCCCTTACAGATGGGTTAAGAAAATTCTTTAAACCACAGGGAGACCAGACTAATACATTGACATCACAGCCACTCCAGAACTACATCAAGACCTGTGTCAGCAAGCAATTATTTAATTCCAAGGTAGTTGCATTTCTAGGATTTAGTCTTACAAAAGGCAAAAGTTTTGAATTACATATAGCCCAACCTACATAATTTTTAAATCAGAAAGTGGCAAGCCTTCAAAAGATTACTGTGTTATGATAAGAATATGCTTAATGATGCAGATGTATGCTTGATTAAGGCATAACCCTAAGGTTGAGAAGGGTAAGACTTAATAGATGTATGAAAGGTATGTGTTAGGAAATTGAAAATGTATAATGATTAGTATAGTAATTCCATTTCTGTTTTATGGAAGTGGAATTTATTGTGAAAATGTTTACTCAATGTAATTTTTATCTTTACATCCTCAACAGTTTCATAAACAGTATCAGTTAAAGTCAGTGTAATAATGTTCATATTGTTAAGAATGATTGTGTGCATGTGTGTCTTTCTGTGTTTGGACAGACTGATTAGGGCTAATAAAATTGTATTG